TGCAAGATAGAATTCGAGTCATGGTAGTGGGAGCGGGGAGGAAACCTTTAGGAACTAGAGGAAGGTTGTATTTCTCACCATTGTTACATCGCACCGTGACTGGCTCATCTCCTCCCCTAGACCGCAGGGGGATATCTTAAACATACTTTCTTCTAGCTATATCTGTGTAAGTTCAGGACCATTTTCTAGTTGAACATTAGATAGCTTTTTATCCTAGGGCTTTTTTATTTTCAGAGTATAGTTAAAAATACAGTGTATTAGTACTCCCTTATAGGTTTTCTAGTGTTACCAGCAAACTGATTGTATTTATTTATTTTTTTCAGATGAAACAGTTCCTCCTACTTCATTGGATACAAAATGGAATAAGATCCTAGATCCTCCTCCTCACCAACTTTCATTTAACTCTACATTGGCCAATGTGAATGAACCTGCAGTCTCTAATGAGTCACAGCCACAAGTGAAAGTCTCCCCCCTGGCTCATTCAGCTCCTCTGACCATCGAGGGAAAGGACCATTGTGCTAATGGACAGGACAGTAGTCTAAATCCAGAGATTGCCACCATGTGGATTGATGAGAGTGCTGGTGCAGACGATACACTAATTAAGAAAAATTGTAATCGAGATGATCAATGCAGTGCTGTAGAAGGGGGAGAAAAGAGATGTGGAAGCCTAGCTTGTCTGCCAGAGGAGAAGAATGTCCTTGTTGTAGCCGTCATGCATAACTGTGACAAAAGGACATTACAAAGCAATTTTCAGGATTGTAAAAATTATAATCATCAGCCCCTCATGGATGCTTTTAGCTGTTCACTGGATAACGAAAGCAGACAAACTAATCAATTTAGTTTTAGTATAAATGGGTCTGCTGAAAAAGATATAAACTCAGAGAAACAAATGGATCCATTGACTAGACCAAATGCAGAGGGAAATTCTGTTAACCATTTATGTACTACTTCATCTGATAGTCTAGCCAGTGTCTGTTCTCCACAATTAAATAATGATGAAAATATAGCTGAAGAACCCTCCATGTCATTAAGTTTAGCAATTGATAGAGTGATCTCATCACAAGGAACAAATGAAAGCCCTGCTGTTAAAACCCAGGAGAATTCTACCCCAGATGAACTTCTGACTGGCAAAACCAGCTCCACTCGGACAGATATAGGTAGTCCAAACTCCTTTTCCCACTTGAATGAGGGGCTTGTGATGAACAAAGAATCACAAGAGGAGAGAACAACAGAAGAATCCCTCCAGCCTAGTCTACCTTTGCTTCTCAATCCAGACATGACCAATGGGTCTGAGAGGGATGAGACCTGTGAGCAGTTTCCAGATTGCCTGGTGCCCAGGGAAATCAGGGCTGATGAAAATAAAGGCTGTGAACATGAAGAAGTTCTTGACACTACAGAATTTCTTAATATGGCAGAGCATTTCTCTGAATCTCAGGAGCTGACTAATTGGAAATTGACTAAACTAAATGAGATGAGTAGCAGCCAACTAAAAGAAGAAAGTGAAAATTTTCTGCCAGCAAGTCAGCCTGAGGACACTTGTGATAATGGAGGAGAGCATGAGGGAATAGCAGAAGCTGGCCTAGATTTAAAAGGACCTTGCCTGAATGAAAGTGAAGGATGTGATTTCTCCACTGTTACAGATACACCAGCAGCAAATTCTTTACTTAATGGCTGTGATTCCTGTGGAATGCAGAGCCCAGTTGTTGCTTTTGTTCCAAAGACTTTACCCTCCAAAGAAGATTCAGTAACAGAAGAAAAGGAAATAGAGGAGAGCAAGTTGGAATGCTACTCTAATATTTATGAACAGAGAGGAAATGAGGCCATAGAAGGAGGTGGACTACTTTTAAACAGCACTGGTGACCTAACGAAAAAAAATTATTTGCACAATTTCTGTAGTCAAGGTCCATCGGTGCTTGGGCAGTCTTCCCCCAAGATAGCAGCGAACCTGCAATCTATCAGTGTTCCTTTTGGTGGTGCAAGACCCAAGCAACCTTCTAATCTTAAGCTTCAGATTCCAAAGCCATTATCTGACCATTTGCAAAATGACTTGCCTACAAACAATGGAAATAATATTAAAAACAAAAATGATATTCTTGGGAAAGCAAAATTTGGGGAAAACTCATCAACCAATGTATGCAGCTCCTCTTTGGGAAACATCTCTATCACTGATGCGAATGGGGAACATATAGAAAGTTATGACACTGGGATCGCCAGTAGACCGTGCCTTGCATTAGCTCCAGAGAGCCCAGATAATGATCTCAGAGCTAGCCAGTTTGGAATCTCTGCCAGAAAGCCATTTACCACTCTGGGTGAAGTGGCTCCAGTATGGGTACCAGATTCTCAGGCTCCCAATTGCATGAAATGTGAAGCCAGGTTTACATTCACCAAAAGGAGGCATCATTGCAGAGCGTGTGGGAAGGTAAGTTGTGTGCAACGGTGCAGACCTAGCATGCCCTTCTTGCATGGCTCGATTAGAAGTTAATAAAGGCAAAATTGGATGACTATACTGCTGGTTGACATGGAAATATGAGTAGTTTTTTACAGCCCTTTTGACCGTCACAGTTCCAGCATACATGGAGTCACCGTGAATTAGAATCTACTTGACAGCAACTGGCTTTTGGTTTAGTACATTTCTAAATTTAAAAAAAAAAAAAAAAAGGTTACTTGCTACTTCTTAGAGTTATATAATTTTATTTTAGTTATCAAGACTTAAGCTGAATCTCTTTTCATGGAAAGATGAGAATTGAGGAAGCACTAATTCTGTGGTTTCTATATTGATAGATACTTGGTTAGTGGAATTGTTCTTAATAAGGAAGTTGTTCCTCCTTTGGTGTAGAAAATATGAGTATTTGTGATTGACTGATTACTTTTTAATTCTTTTAAAAAATCATTTTATTGGGGGCTCGTATAACTCCTATCACAATCCACACCCCCCCCCATCATGTCAAGCACATTTGTACATCCATTGCCATCATCATTCTCAAAACATTTGCCTTCCGCTTGAGCCCCTTGTATCAGCTCCTCATTTTCTTTTCCTCTCCCTCCCCGCTCCCCCTTCTCACATGAACCCTTAATAATTCACAAATTATTATTATTTTGTCATAGCACACTCTCTGCCGTCTCCCCTTTTTAATTCTTGATAAATTGAATATTGCCCATAGACCCTCTCCCAATTTTTTTTGGTATATATATATTTACCATTGTTCGAGAGATTCTGGGACTTGTTTTATATACTCACACACACAGACATGCCCATGTATGTATGTGTATATACTGGTATTTGTTGTCTTTTGTTTATTTGATGTAAAATAGAGTTGTGTCAAAGTTGTAGGATGAATTAGTGTTCTTTCCGCCCACTGCCACTGAATCAGTTTTGACTAGTAGCGACCTTACAGGACAGAGTAGAACTGCCTCTGTGAGTGTCTTAGGCTGTAAACATTTTGGGGAGCAGGGAGACTCATCTTTCTCCCTGGAACAACTGGTGGGTTTGAACTGCTGGCCTTGGAGTTAGCTGGCCAAAATGTAACCCACTATGCTACCAGGGCTCACTCTGTTCCCAACCCTCCCCAGATTCTGTTAGTAATATATCACTTTAACTTTCCGACATGAGATGTAAACAAGGAAGGAGGTTTGGTGTCAGCTTTGAATTTGAGTCTCAGCTGTGTGCTACTTAAACTTTTTTTTAAACTTCTCTAAGCTCTCATTTTCTAATCTATAAAAACAAAACAGGGAGTTAATTTCAAAAGTCGTGAGTATTTTTTTTTTAAACATTTTATTAGGGGCTCATACAACTGTTATCGCAATCCATACACACATCAATTGTGTAAAGCACATTTGTACATCATTCTCAAAACATTTTCTCTCCACTTAAACCCCCGACATTAGGTCCTCATTTTTCCCCTCCCTCCCCGCTTCCCCCTCCCTCATGAGCCCTTGATAGTTTATAAATTGGTATTTTGTCATATCTTGCCCAGTCCGACGTCTCCCTAAAAGTCGTATTAAGTGAGATTGCATATGTAAGTGCTTCATAAGTACTCTCTACTGCCTTTTTACCTGATGTATATTAGTCTTTGTTAATTAGGATGTTTTCAGCTGTGAGGAACAGAGTACTTGACTCCCAGTGACTTTCACATCACAGGAACCTTAAACAATTTTATTTTGAGTAATATAGCCAAAACTTCATTTGTAAAAAGTTAGTTAATAGAATAACACCTCTCATTGTAGTTGAAATTTGCATTTTGCTATAATATGCCCAAACCCATCTGTTAAGCTATGGGATTTTAATCTTGGCTGAAACTATAATGTTTCTTTTAAGGGCAGATCTTCATTAGTGGCCAAATGGCTAATTTTTACTCTTTAGCCATTTTTCTTGATCTTGCTCTCTGATCCCATACATTCCAAACTGTTCAAAGGATTTGCAATAAACAGCCAAGGTAAAGGGATATTTCTTGTTCATTGTCTGAAATCTTGGTTTATGTTAATTTTATTAAAGGAAAAATAAACTCCAAAAACACCTGCAACTTCAGGCACTAAAACTTCTTCACAGATCGTCTTTGCCAGTAGTTTCATAGTGTGGGCCATCTTGAACCAGGAATATGCGGGAGGGTCTACCAAGACTGCAAATCTTGAGGAAAGTAGAAAGCCTCATCCAGTGAAGCTGCTGGTGGTTTTGAACTGCTAACCCCACTAAACACGTAATCCACGATGTCACCAGGGCTCCTGGGGGCAAGAAAGCTGAGGAAAATATCTCCAGAAAATTCTTCTTTTACCTACTGGTCAGTTCTAGGCCATAAGTGCAATTTTAGACCAACTGCTGTCAAAGGAGAACAGGATTGGCCAAGACCCCCTAGAGCTGAGCACAGTGTTGCCTGACACGAGTGAGATCCTACTGACCGAGGAGGAGAATGGCTTCTGGTGGATAACCAGCAATATTTATTACGAGGCCTCATCAATACAAAAGAGCCAGGTGATGTGGAACAGAAAGAAGTTAAAGCGGACACAGGCTGTTGGTCCCTGATTATTAAAGCTTAAAGAAAATAATGTGTCAAAGTCCTAAATATTTTACAAACGTGCTTTTGTTGGCTGAAGGAGACCAATGGTCAGCAGCCTCAACAGTCAGTTCTTTATTAGGGGGTTGAATTAATCATATTTCTGTTCGACATTTTGCTTACTATATTTAATGCTTTTTGAAATTTTTGCTTTCTTAGGCAAATAATAAAAACATTTTTGCTCCAGATCAGCATATCCATATTGTTACCTTCTGTACATACACTAACAATATATATAAATTGAAAATTTAAAGGGGATTTCTGCTGAGTATTTAATATATTTTTAGTAAAGAATTTTGCTATGTAAGTGACCTAAATTTATGAATTAGCAATTTCAGGATTTTCTCTTCCTTCTCCATGTACCTCCAAGATAGTGTAAGGATTAATCAGATAGTATATTTAAAAATCTTTGAGCTCCTTAGAAGAAAAGTGCCTTTAAACACATGCATACTTTTTCTAGGTATTAATCATTTTGTACCAAAAATTGATCTAGAAAAGTAATCGAAGCAGTATGATTTTGTAAAATAATGTTGAAACTTTTCATTGTTCTAGTAGAAATTAAGCATTCCTGGTAATTCCTCTATTTAATATATTTAGCTAAATTCTTACTCTAATGAGCATATATTAAACATCTAATATCTGAAAGGCACTCAGCTAGTTATGTGAGATTTCTTAAAAACCAAACTTTGCTATTGCGTCAATTCTGACTCATAGTGACTCTATAGGACAGGGTAGAACTGCTTCTATCGGTTTCCAAAATAGTAACTGCTTAGAGGTGTATAAATTGGGATTTATGACCTCATGAAGTTTATAAATGAGGACACTGCTAGTGATTAGGGAGAGAAAATAGTGAATTTATGGGAGACATTTTTTTAAAAACCCTTAAGAAAAAATAAAACAAACCATTGATCTGAGTAGACAAACAGACCTCACCAAATACAATGTATTAAGGGGCGTAGGTATGTGTGCTTTATGTTCATTCTCATTTAATAATCACAGTTGTATTTGGTAAATATTTAAAGCTGAGAGAGGTCAAGGCTTGCACCCGAGGTCACACAACTTATAAATGGTAGCCCCTGAGTTTTACATCTAGGTCTACCTTCAAAGCTGACTCTCTCATTCATACTAGCAGTATGAACAAAATGCTTGAGGCTCACTGAGGAATGGTTGAGGCAATCAGAAAGTTATGACACCACAGGTGAATGACTACCTGGAGAGGGAGATATAAAAAGGTAGATAAATTTTGGGAACAAAGTTCTAGAGTAGCTAAGAAGAATGGGATCATATTAGAGCATAGCTGTAGAATTTGCAGTAGGGGAAGGAGGTAATTAGGCCAATATAAAAATTTATTGAATATGAGTTGGTAGAAAATCATAGGAAATGATTTAGCATAGTACCAGGCCTATCTTCAGTTTTTGATAAAGTAATAGATATTTTTATTTTTTTGTGACCAAGGTAATTTATCAAATTTTAAAAAATCATTTTATTTTGGGCTCGTACAGCTCTTTTAACAATTCATACATACATCCATTGTGTCAAGCACATTTGTACATATGTTGCCATCATCATTTCCAAAACATTTTCTTTATACTGAGCCCTTGGTATCAGCTCCTCATTGTTCCCCCTCCCTTCCCCACCCTCCCTCCCTCATGAACTCTTGATAATTTATAAATTATTATTTTCATATCTTACACTGACTGCCGCCTCCTTTCACCCACGTTTCTGTTGTTCGTCCCTCCTTGGGGGGTTGGGGGGGACACAGTTATATGTCAATCATTACTATCAGTTCCCTTTTTCTCTCCCCCACCTTCTCCCTACCCTCCTAGTATTGCTACTCCCATTACGGTTCCTGAGGAGTTTATCTGTCCTGGATTCCGTGTGTCAAGAGCTCTTATCTGTACCAGTGTGCATACTCTGGTCTAGCTGGATTTGTAAGGTAGAATGGGGATCATGATAGTGGTGGGGAGAGGAAGTATTAAAGAACTAGAAAAATGTTGTATGTTCCATTGGTGTTGTACTACACCCTGGCTGGCTCGTCCCTTCCTTGTGAAACTTCTGTGAGAAGATGTCCAATTGTCTACAGATGGGCTTTGGGTCTCTACTCTGGTCCCACCCCACCTCGTTTGTATTGATATGATTGCTCTGGGTCTTCTGATGCCTGATACCTGATCCCATCGACACCTCATGATCGCACAGGCTAGTATGCTTCTCCCATGTGGGCTTTGTTGCTTCCCAGCTAGATGGCTGCTTGTTAATCTTCAACCCTTAAGACCCCAGATGCTATATCTTTTGATAACTGATAACCATCAGCTTTCTTCACCAAATTTGCTTATGCACCTATTTTGTCTTCAGCGATCGTGTTGGGAAGGTA